ACGGGACTTGAAATAGCGGTAGATTTGTTTGCCTATCCGAATCTTATTACCGGGCAGAAGTCTCCAACCTGCCTGTAGTAGTGTGAATGATTTGTATTTACCACGTGGCTTGAATCTTGGACGACCGCACTTCTTGCCTTCGGCACGGTCTTTGAACATTTTCTGGTAGCCCTTGTCTATTCGAGCAGCTACGTCCTGTATGGATTGACTAGGTAGTTGATTCCAATGAGCAAAACCAGGCAGCCGCTTGAGTTTAGATATGTGATTGATTAATCTAAACTTGCTAATATATTTACCAAATATAGCATAGTACCGACGTTGGAGGGCAACACAATGATTCCATACGTGAGCGTGTCTGTCTATCGTCTTGTGCAGCTCGTGGTTACCGTGGTTGTGATACATTTTGAACTTGTAGGTTTTCATGGGAGGGGCTTTCCGTCTTTCGCTTCCATGTCACTGGATTGTGGGAGACCCTATTGTGCGATAGGGGTGACATGCTCCCACCGAAAGACAAGACAAGCATACTATATTTTACCTGCAATTTCAACGTTTTTTTGACTAAACGCCGCTAGCCGATCTGTATCCCCAACCTAAAGGAGGGGGGCTTAGATCGGAAGATTTGATAAAAAAACGCCTTCACAGAAATGTCTTTTTGTGTTAGACTCATTGGAAGCTGTGGTTTGAGAAAGAAACCTAAATATTATACCATAACCGACCTTCCCAATACACATTGCAAACCCAAAAAATTGTGTATTAGCATTGACATGTCACATTTCACGCAAGGAGTCACGTCATGACTGGCGAAGAAAAATTTGCCTTCGATCTCGAAGGCTATCTAATTATCAAGAAATGTGTTGTCCGCTGATGAAGTTGCGGAGATGAATGAAATCGCTGATCGCGCCTTTCCTCCCGAAGGCGATGACACGCGCTACCGTCGTGCGAGTCGAGTTTCGTGCTGGGGGGATCCGTTCAAAAAGCTGATAGATCACCCCAAGGTGCTGCCCTGCCTAATCGAGTTAATGGGTCCCCGAGTCCGACTCGATCATGACTACTGCATCTTCATGACCGAGGGGGGCCAAAGCGGTAGACTGCACGGAGGTCCCGAAGTTGTCGGCGATCACTGGTACAAATACTGGGACGGAGTGATGCGCAATGGGTTGAGCGTCGTCACGTACTTCTTAACAGATGCAGCAGAAGGCGACGGTGGATTTGCGTGTGTTCCGGGCAGCCATAAAACCAATTTTGTCTCAAGCCTGCCCGACGATATCCGCAGTTTTGAACGTCCCACACGCTATGTAGTCCAACCGGCAGTCGAAGCAGGGGATGCACTGTTCTTCACGGAGGCGCTCATCCACGGGACAATGCCGTGGCGCGCTAAACATGAGCGGCGCTCGCTGCTCTATAAGTATAGCCCCGGACACTCAGCGTGGTCGCAAAATTACTACGATCTGGACGAGTTCGATGACTTGACGGAGCAGCAGAAGCGAATGTTGATGCCGCCTTCTATCGGTCAACGCCCCGATGTGGTTCAGGAAGATTAAGCGTTCACGGATCAAGCGTCGTGTTTGAGCGCAGGCAGCAGCGGTCTTTGCAGGGCAAAGTAGACGGCTATCGCGCTGGCAACTATTCCAACCAAAAATACCAGAGCCAACGTCATCACTAGTGAGAGCCAAGGCACCTGAACTCCTGGGGTCGTCAGGTGCGGTGCCACTGCGATGAGCGCAGAAACGGTCCCAATCAAAATCCCGATCAATAGGAGAAATCCGTTTTCCCACAGAAGCATCAGCGATAGCACAGATCTCCGAAAACCGAAGGCGCGCAGGGTTGCTAACTCCCCACTTCGCTCGATGACGTTTCTCAGCAAAACAATCCCCAGACCGAGTGTGCCGAGAAGCAGTCCAAGCCCGCCGAGTGTCTGGAAGGTAGAGAGGTAGGTATTTTCAACGGCTCGATAACTGGCTACTTTTCGATCGTTGACCTGACATCCAAGCCGTAATCGTCCAACGTCCTTTCCAGCGTGTGCCCAATGTGCTCTGCGCTTTCGGAGAATGCCGCCGGATTGGGAGTTGAAGGCGTCTGAATTAAGAAATACGCGTATCCGCTTTGGTTTGGGAAGTGTTTCTTGAAATTGGCTTCGGAAATTAACAACTCGCTCTGAAAGATACTGCGTTGTAAAACACCCACCAAACGCAGCTCAATTGCCCTCCCAATTCGTCTTGGATGCTCAGTTCATCGCCAAGCCCAAGGTGCAAGATCCACTGGACGGAGTTGTAATCTCCGATGGCTGGAATGACGCCCGGTTCCAGCTCATCTTCCAGTAACTCCCACGGATTCTCCTTCGCCACGGTTGTCCCCTGAAATTGAAATCCACCTCGTTCAATGAAACCCTCTGAAACCCCTAAAATTCGAGGTTTTTGGGGGCGATACAGATTTAGGCAGCTTGCATCTTCCCCCGGTAAGAAGGCGGAACGGAAAGATTTGAGTGTCCGCTGTGGTATCTGAATCGGATTCGGAAAATCCCAACTCAAATCGTCCGTCCTGAGAATTGAGGTCATGATGTAACGGGATGTCGGATTCCGCGACCAAAGCAAATCCGCCGGTGCCGGCTGCTTTTTGTAGAACCGTTCCCTGTTTCCGTTCAACATGACGGTTCGCACCCACCGCAACGATGACAAAGCAGGCACAGCCGACCAACGCTGCACAAAGCATACTCCGACCCGGATGGCGTCCACTATTTTTAATTCCCCATCTGCGTCGTTACGGCGACCCTCGGTGGACTCGCTGTCCCCCTACCTAATCGCAACCACATGGAGAAGAAAGCCAGTCCCGCGATCAGTAACAGCACCCCGCTGCCGAAAAATAGCCCAGCCGAAGTGGTGGCACCGGAGACAAGGGCGAATATCGTCAAAGCGAGGGCAAGCCCTAAACTAGCAAAGGCAAGGATTCGGCTTCGAGTGCTGCCCCCCGAACTTCGATTGGAGAGTCCACTAGCACCCGATCCACCCGCAATCAGCGCAGTAATGGGAACCTTGCCGAGTTGCCGAACGGTCCAACCGATCGAAAATAGGACTACGGCAAGGGCAATCAGATACCCAAGAACCAAACTTAATGGATTGATATGCAAAGACAGGAAAGGCGTTCCCACCGCTAGCCAACCACCAAGTTCGTAATCCAGCCATCAGTAACCATGCGTAAACAACGCTCCTCACCAACCCGATCAAGCCGCCAAGTCCAGCGATTAATCCGCCCTCTTTTATAAAACGTCGCCGGATGGTTGAAATGGGGTAGCCCGCAGTTAGCAGAATACCGACTTCGCTGCCTCGTTGTTCGACGCCAAGTCTGAAAAGTAATCCCACCAACAGGGTAGCGGATACGATAAGAAACAGGCTGAATCCGATAAAGAGGGAGCTAAAATCTGTTGACCCCGTGGCAGCTGCTAAACCGTCCGCTTTAACGGGTTGGAACACCAGACCGACCTGTTCTGGACGGATTTTCTCCAGCAACCGCCTTTGAAAGTTGGTTTGGGTTGTTTGAAGATCGGCACCCAGAACCGCTCTTATCTGAATTGCGGTTAAATCTCCGAACCGGCTACGCCACAACTGTTGTGCTGTTTTGTCTGATACAAACGCTTTGGGGATCGCACGGAAAAGATCCCAGTACACCTCATCTTTGGGACGAATTCGGTTGAGATCTATCGGAAAGGGTGCGTTCCATTCGGACATATCATCCGCTTCATGAATCCCCGGAAAATTTGGCGTCAGTCCCCGATCAGCGGCTAGCCCTTCTATTGCGACAACCCCTTTCAGGCGGAATTGCACGCCTCGTGTCAACAACTTTTCTCTCGGACCCACAATGTAGTAACTCACATTAATCTGATCTCCAACCTCTGCGCCCAAATCCATGGCAGCCCATTCGTTGAGGAGGATTTCGTCGGCGGCGAGTGGGGGTGCAGATGAACCGTCCGTTAATTCAAGGGAAAAGGCACGCTGCGTATCTAAGCCCGTAATTGTTGAATACGGAATCGTTCGTTCATTGGCGGCAATCGTGTTAGCTAAATAGGTCAAGATTGGCAGAAACAGTGTGCGCCGCTCAATCGCAACGGCTCTGGCAGCCTCAATGATATCCGGCTTGAGCAGAAATTGTGTGCTTTCAAGGGAGAGATAACTCACTCCTCCGATGGATTCGGAAGAGACTTGGCGCAGCGTCAAGCCGAGATCTTCTAATTTCAAAGCCTGATGCAATCTATTTTGTAAAGCGGGAAGCACATCAGTCGTAGTAGGATTGGATACGCTGGGAGATGCGGCAGAAACAAAAATCGCGTTGACCTTCGCCTCATTTCCAAGGACTTTCTGTAAAACAGCAAGAGAAACGTAGGCATTCAGCGGGCGGCTCTGATTGGGACGCAAGCCAAAGCTGCCGACGCCACGGTCCGGAAGGATCTTTGTAACGGTGAGTCGGAGGGTTTGAAGGACCTCCGATGAATCTCGGTGACCAAGTAAAAATTCGCGATGGATGTCACTGTGTCTTTCAAAGGAGAGGAGGATTTGGTCATCAATTGCTATATCTAATTCTTTCTGAAGCGATTGGTTGATATGGACGGATGGAAAGAGCTGCCCCGGCCGTTTTTCCAAAGGAGGAACAGATTGACTGGAAGCCTCCTCCCACAAAGCTGTAAATCGCTCATCAATCCCCTGGATCTGGACACGAGAGGCGCGAGCCTTGCTCTTGGCATTGACCGCGGTGCCGTTCAAAAAGGATTGCCGGCACCGTTTCTCGATGGAATTGCGCTTCACCCTCCAATTTGCGCGATAAATCGACCGCTAACTCTTCACGGAAGAAACGCTCTGATACGAGCGCGTAATCAATTCGTCCCAATCGATCTAAGGTGAGACCCCGTAGGCTACCCCGAACGGAGTCCCCGACGAGCAGCGCACCAGTGAGCACCGCCGTCGCCACCGCAGCACCGAGCAACACGGCAAGCTGAATCCGCCAAAAATAGCTTAAACTTCGGCGCATCTGCCCGCCTCCAATTCAAAACGCCGTCCAAAGCGCGATGCGAGTTCAAGGTTGTGAGTTACCACAATCAGAATGTTCTGTTCGGCTTGGTGAAGTTCAAACAGTAGGGAAGACACCTCATCCGCGGTAGAGTGATCGAGGTTTCCTGTGGGTTCATCACAAAGGATGACGCTAGGTTGGTTGATAAGGGCACGCGCGACAGCCACGCGCTGCCGCTCGCCGCCAGATAGCTCGGCAGGTCGATGGCTCAAACGATGGGAAAGCCCAACCCGTTCAAGGAGTTCCCGTGCGCGTTTTTCGACATCTCCATCGCGGTTTTTGAAAGCCATAGTGGGGATTAGTACGTTTTCCCAGACCGAATACTGCGGCAATAGATGGTGATCTTGAAAGACAAAACCGACCCCCTGATTCCGAAATCGGGCGAGTTGTGGCTCTGGCAGTCCGAACGGGTCCTCGCCGTTAATTTCAATCTGTCCCGACGAGGGTCGCTCTAATGTGCCGATTAGGTGCAGCAGCGTACTTTTCCCGGAGCCAGAAGGACCGGTGATAGCCAGGGATTCCCCCTGCGTCATTTCAAACGAAATGCCCTGAAGCACTTCAATCGGTTGTGCTTCATCGCCAAAGTTTTTATAGATGTCGGATACCTTGAGAAAGTTCATAAGTTTACTAGTTCATTGGTACATTAGTTTATTAGTTCATTAATGAATCAGATACGTCTTACGTTTCACATTTTGCTGCTTCGATCTGATTCGCGATAAAATCTGGTATCGGGATGGCTCTCAATTTTTCGCCGGGGTTGCATATACAGCACACCGACGTCAACTGACCGTGAGCAACTTTTACGTTGTCTTTCATAAAAACGAATTGATAGGTGAGGGATTTGGTCCCTTTTCTGGCAATCGTCAGGTGGATTTCCAGTTCATCTTCAAATTTGACAGGCTTGAGATACTCACACGAGGCTGCCAGTCGGGGCCAACCGATCTTGTTTCCTTCCCATTCTGTGGCGACGCTTGTCCCTAATGAACGGAGGAATTCGTGTTCAGCGGATTCCATAAACACAAAGAACCGCGCAAAGTGGACGATGCCCGCCATATCGGTATCGGAGAATTCTATTCGGCGTTTTGTGTGGTATTCGTGTGGCATGGTGGTGTCTTTCGATCTTTTAACCGGATTGAAGGATACCGGTTCATTCATTCAATTTCCCGCCGCTTCCTGCGCGATCTCCGACCCCGGCTGAAGTGCGATGACCTTCTCATAATCGGCGAGTGCATCGTCGTAACGACCCAGTTGTTGATATGCGAACGCCCTACGGAAGTAGATGGGACCCAATGTCGGATGGTCTTCTCCCCACCCCTGAATCTCATCGGTTGAAAACTGCAACGACTTTGTGATAGTCAGATTCCGCTGCGTCCGGTTGATTTAAGCGCAGATAGATCTCGCCTCGGCGGAGATACGCTTCCGCAAACGCGGACTCAATCTCGATTGCCTTGTCAAGATCTGTAAGCGCACGTTGATCGTCGCCCATCTGCGCGTAGGCAACGCCCCGATAATAGTAGGCTGCGGCACCGGGTTTGCGCTCAATGACGGCTCCATAGTCTTCAAGCGCACGTTGTGTATCTCCCATCTCTCAGATAGGTTTCTGCCCGCTTCCATGTTACAAACCCTGCCCATCTTTTTTCCAAAGATGCGGTGTAATCTGCGAGTGCGTGCTGATAATCGCCCAAGGCGCGATAGGCATCCCCGCGACTGTAGTAGGCATCGGCTGCGTACCGATTCAAGTTCAATGTCTGCGTATAATCCTCGATTGCTTTTCGATATTCACCTAGACGATAGTGAGCAAGTCCGCGTTTGACGTAGGCATCTGCGTATTTTGGGCTGATTTCAATCGCACGGGTGAAGGCGGAGATCGCGCTGCGGTTATCACGATCTGTTGGTCCCCCTAGGAGTTCTGTCCCTTTGACAACGAACTGGAGTGCCTTCGGGTCTTCGCCTTTTAGATTATCCCAACTGACGAATCGGGAGGCGATGAGGGCGCAAGCGATGAGCACCGGTAACATGACGTAAAGCAATAGACGCGACATAGATAGTCCTTTGTGAAACGAGATTGAGCCTTCAGGGACGCAGTGGATGAATCTCCGCACCGTATCGCAGGTCGGTGACAGCATTGTAGCGTTTGGAGAGATCGATAGCAAGATAGGATCGTACCCCCGGCGGTGCACCATAGCCGGTTGAGAAGATGAGTTGATGCACTCCGAGGCGCGCCACCCCATCTGCTACGCCATCTTTGGGAAAAGAAACCAACGGCGTGTGCCCCACAACCAAAAATCTGCCCCCGATTCTTTTGAGGAATTCAGCCGTTTGAGATGGGGTATATCCGCTCCTCAGCACAATTGCAGGACGCCCCCAGAGCAGTTCTTCAAGCACCTTTTTGCTTGGACGAACAAAGGTCAGCGAGGTTTTTGGCAGCTCGCGATGTCCCCGCATGGATACCAACGAATCCGTTTTTACCAATAGCAACCGTTGGGAGGCTAGTCAGGTAACTGTAGTGTTCATCTGTCATCCGCTCAATGAAATTGAACTGCTTGAAATAGGCACCGTGGATAGTCTGGTAAAGCTCATCAATCATATCCCGGCGGTTGTCCGCATTCATACCGGACTTTTTGAGCATGGCATAGGTATCAGCGGACGCAAGTTCGTGATTCCCCCTGAGATAGATGAAGCGTTCTTCTCCCCAACTGCTGCTGAAGCTGCATGATCCGATCGACAATTTTTACATCGCCGTAAGGCTCGAAGATTGGATCACCCGGCTTGTGATCGACCGCATCACCAAGGATTAAACCGTAGACATCTTCCCCAGCCTCAATCCGCTCCACCAGTTTTGTCTGCGTCAGCCATCTATTAAAATTGCTCCACTGCGCATGAAAGTCTGTTGCAACATACACGATTCCTTGGTCAGGAAGGACAACCAACTCGCCATCCCGCGTTACTTGATTCGGATAATCGGGAGAGAGATTTGGCTTCTGCCGCCTCCAAGATGCCGAGACAGAGGCTGGAGCAATTGAACAGGATAAGAAAAAGGGATCTTAGAATTTTCTGTTGATTAAAAGATTTCACAGATTTCAATCTACACAATCGTCCTCGCTCCTATCCCGTAAATCTTGATACTTCTCCGTCTATTATGCTACCGCGTTGTCAAATCATCCCCGAAATTGGTTGCGTCAGTCTTGCCGCGCTCAAGGCATACAGCGACCACAAGCATCTCAAGGTCTTCCTGCGTGTGATTATAGATTCCGTGAGATCCCTCAAGCCGATTGGGAATCGCTGCGCCTTCGTAGACCTCCTCTGTTTCATCATCAACGGTCATCCGACCGCTACGTTCAGGACAATGTAAGCCTCCTCAATCCGGTCGTGTCGATGATAGCCGACGGAGTGCCGGGCGGTAACAAAGCATGACTGACGAAACCCCAGTTATTGCGAAAATCCTGATGTTCCCATAGCGTCCGAGCACCGATTTCGCCTTTACCCTCGTGCGACTGGCTATAGGTCAGCAGATTGCGATCCAGTCTGGCAACAGGCAAGTCGATCTATCGACTCCAAAGGTGCATTGGCACGATCATCGCCGAAATCGGTCGAATCGGGGGGTACGCCGATTGCTGCAACATTGAAATTGAACCATCGCGTCTCTTTGTCGGTGTGGTTGTAGATGGCGTGGGATTCCCCTTGACGCAACGGTACAGCTGCGCCGCCGACAATCTCCGCTGTGCGACCGTTGTGCGTAAATTGGGCAGCGTTATCAACTGTGACGAAGACCTCCTCAGCGGTGTCGTGCCGATGATGACCGATGCCACCGCCGGGCAGAAGAATCGCGCTATGAATAAACCGCCATGGAGTTCCAAAATCATCGCTCCCAAAAAGGCTCTTGAACAGGATCGACTTCGCCCCACCATGGACGCTGCTGATTTCTTCCATCTCTTCACGTCGAGCATAAGCAATTTTCATTTTTAGTCTCCTATTAAAATTGGCAAATCAAGGCATAACCGTTTACCTTACAGATTATCCATCACATTTCAATCCAGAGTTTCACCCGGCTGGAGCGCGACGATTTCAACCGCTTGATCTCTGGTCAGCTCGCGCAATGCGTCCGGTGTCCGGTTAGTAGCGGAAATGTCCCGTAATGTATCGGAACAATAGCAGGTACATTGAGCAGCTGCGCCGCATAAGCCGCCTCACGGGGGCCCATCGTGAAGTGGTCGCCGATTGGCAAGAGGGCGAGATCTGGCTGGTAGATTTCACCGATGATCCGCATATCGCCAAATACATTCGTGTCACCCGCGTGGTAAATTTTATACCCATTTGAAAATTCAAGGATATATCCCGCGGGTTCACCGAGATAGACTGATTGTGCCATCATCTTCCGTGAAACTGCTGCTATGGTTGGCTGTTACCATAGTTGCATTTAGCCCATTAATGGAAACAGTGCCCCCCTTGTTCATCCCGATCGCGTTTTCGACGCCTTTACCTCCGAGCCAATTGCTGATTTCGACCATCCCCACAACGGTCGGTGAGTGTTGCTTCGCAAGGTCAACAGCATCGCCGATGTGATCGGCGTGTCCGTGTGTAATGAGTATCGCATTGAGTTTATCAAATGTTTTCAGGGTATCTGGGCACGACGGATTACCGGTTATCCACGGGTCTATTAGAAAGGTCTGTCCCTCGAATTCAATTTTAAAGGTTGAGTGTCCGAGCCACGTCAATTGGATTCCGTTATTTAGTTTCATCTGCTTCCTCCCTGTTTAGTCTGGGCTTATATCCAAGTGAGTTTATTATACAAAAGCCGCCGTTTCTTTGCAACTATATTGTCGTTGACTTGAATTAGCGAACCTGCTATAATCCCCCTCGTCACAATAGCGCAGATTGCTCCCTATTCAACATCTCAGATGTCTTCTGTATGGGTCAATTTAGGTTTCGGATATAAATCAGATGGGTGAAGGTAAGGTTGTCCAAAAAACAGAAGTTCCCGCTACGATCGACTCATTGCAGGCTGATTTCAGGGCACTTGGCATCAAATCGGGAATGGTATTGTTGATTCATTCATCCTTGAGCGCGATGGGTTGGGTGTGTGGCGGGGCGGTAGCGGTCATCGTTGCACTTCAGGAGGTTTTGGGTAAAACTGGTACACTTGTTATGCCCACCCACTCAACCGATCTGACCGAACCAAGCCAGTGGGAAAATCCGCCTGTACCCGAATCGTGGTGGCCGGTCATACGTGCAACAATGCCTGCTTACCAGCCGGATCTGACGCCCACGCGGTCAATGGGGATTATCGCAGAAACATTCCGAAAGCAGAAAGGTGTTCTGCGTAGCGCGCATCCACACCACTCGTTCTGTGCGTATGGGCATCAAGCGTCGCATATTACAGATAACCACTCATTGGGGTTTGGTCTGGGCGAGGGTTCACCGCTTGCCAGAATCTATGATTTGGGCGGTTTCGTTCTTCTCCTCGGCGTGGGTCATAATAGCAATACGTCTATGCACCTTGCAGAATATCGTGCTACCTTTCCAACCAAACGGATCGGTCAGGAGGGTGCCCCGATCTCGACAGCGGGTTCAAGGAGATGGACTACTTTTGAAAATATAGATCTGGATAGTTCAGATTTTGAGGGATCGGTGAGGACTTCCCCCAAAGTGATGTAGGGCGAGAGGTGCGTCGTGGCAAGGTTGGGCTTGCAAAGTGCCAACTAATGCCACAGCGAGCTATCGTAGATTTCGCGGTGGATTGGCTTGAGGAGAACAGAAAGAAGTAAACCGAATTTCAACCGATCTACACGTACTTCTGCTGCGAAGGTGCGTTTTGGCTTTGTAATTTAATTTATAGATAGCCTCAATCCACAAAAACAATCAAAGGAGATCCTATGAAATTAGTAAGTTTCCAGAGTTCCGATGGTCCCAAACTGGGGGCCTCAATCGATGATAAGGTCCTAGACCTGCAAGCCACCTATCAAGCGGCAGTTACAGATGACGCATTGCCTGCACTCTTGAGTGGTATGATCGCATTTCTTGAAGGTGGGCAGAGAGCCTTTGATGCTGCGACACATGCAATCAACGTAGCGGCGGAAAATCCAGAAAAGGCGGTTTGGAGTACAGATCCGCTCCTGTCACCGATTCCTAATCCGAAGAAGCTATTGCTGCTCGCCGGCAACTATGCCTCGCATATCGAGGAAGGTGGCGGCGTCGCATTGAGCCGGATGGAGACAACGCCACGCGTTTTCATGAAACCGCCGACCACTACCATAGTTGCCCACGAAGAGCCGATTATCATTCCTCCCAACGGTGTCTTTACCGACTGGGAAGCGGAGATTGGTATCGTCATCGGCAAACGCGGGAAATTCATCTCGGCTGATGAAGCCTACGATTACGTCGCGGGATACACTGCGGTCAATGATATTTCCGAGCGCGAGCTAAAAGTGAAGGACAGTCGCGTAGATCGAGAGGGCGATGAATGGTTTGATTGGCTCAATGGCAAGTGGTACGACACCTTTGCGCCAGTTGGTCCATGTCTGACAACAACGGATGAAATCCCGGATCCGAACAGTCTGCGTATCGCCTGTCGCGTCAACGGCGAAACCAAGCAAGATGCCAATACGGGACACATGATCTTTAACTGCGCGGAAATCGTGGAATTTACCTCAACGCTGGTCACGCTTGAACCGGGCGATATTATCTCAACAGGCACACCCGCAGGTGTTGGACACCCCGATCAGAAACTAGTCGATGGGGATGTCGTCGAGGTCGAAATTGAGAAGATTGGTGTTTTGAGGAATCCCGTTGTTCAGGGATAATAAAGACGTGAAACGTGATGCGTGAAACCCCGATAGATCGGGACTAAGAAGCGTGAAAAACCATTTGTTCATTGGTGTAGGCAGGCTAGGAAACTCGACCTACGGGGCTCATCAAAAAAGAAAGTCAAAACACTAAGAGGAACCGAGTTTTTGGCAACTACGGGCGGGGTAATCCCGCCCCTACGGTTTCTCTCCGTGCAAATCAATCTATTGGGGGGGCTGGGATGATGCTGGTTAGAGTGTAGCGAGTGGGATTTACTTCTATCACCTCTCAGCGGAAGAGTATGAAGCAGCGAAGCGGATGGTGATTCGGAAGGAGATTAATCGTCTTTCTCTGACTCTTGCGATTTCCCTTGTATGAGTATATGGTAGATGTTTCTCACATCTGCACTCAAATCAATGAGTCTTTGATTCATATCGTTAATCCTTTGATTCATATCATCAAACCGCTTATTCATATCATCGAAACCGCTTATTCATATCATCGAACGTCGATTCATCTCATCTCGACTCGGAAATTTCAAGAGAAAGGTGATAATTGTAATAGCAAAACCAGCAACCATAATTACGATTTGCAAAGTATCCTTGTCCATGTTAGCCTCCCTTGATTATCTCGGTTTGTGCGATATTATAGCACATGATTCCATATTATTCACGTAAATCTAACATTTCACTTTTGAATAAAGGAGCACCGCAATGTCCGAGCGCAAAAAAGATAGCAGCCATCATCACCACATACTTTCCGCTCTCCCACGCAGACGTGATTGCCACGAAATATATGAAGGGATTCCCGACCGACGAGGGGCTTCAGGCACCGCGTGTCGATTTGGTTTCAATCTATCTGGATCAGACCGATCCACGGGACATCGGACGCGGGCTTGCCGAATCGCACAACATCCCGATCTATCAGAGCATTCGTCAGGCACTGACACTTGGTGGGAAAGAACTCGCTGTTGATGGTGCCCTCCTGATCGGCGAGCACGGCGATTATCCGTACAATGAACTTGAGCAGCACATGTACCCACGCCGTTATCTGTTCGAGCAGATCTGCGGTGTCTTCGCATCGAGTGGGCATTCAGTCCCCGTCTTCTGCGACAAGCATCTCTCGTATAACTGGACGGATGCCAAATGGATGTATGACCGCGCCAAGGCGCTCAATGTCCCCTTTATGGCGGGTCATCCCTACCGACTTGCTGGCGAATCCGTTTCTTGAGTACGATCTCGACACGCCACTAGAGAGCAGCAATCGGGATAGGCTATGGCGGCATCGAGTCCTACGGTTTCCACGCCTTAGAGACGCTACAGTGCATGATCGAGCGACGCACCGGTGGGGAATCTGGTGTGGTTGCCGTCCAATGCTTGGAGGGAGATGCGGTCTGGCAGGCGGGAGCAGACGGGCACTGGTCTCCCGAATTGGCGACCGCCGCGTGCGCGCCAATCCCTGATAAGCCGAGGGGAGCCCGGAAGACCATTGCGAAAACCCCGCTGTTTTCTCTCTGAGCACAGTGATGGGTTTCGGTCAGCGATGTTGATGCTGAACGGCTACATCAGCCAGTTCGCCTATGCGGGACAGATCGACGGCGAGATTCAAGGCTCCCAGTTCCGTCTACAAGGCGGGGGTCCCCATGGACATTTTAGCTATCTTAGCCTGAACATCGAAGAGATGTTGCTCACAGGGGTTCCTCAATATCCCGTTGAGCGGACACTGCTGACGACCGGCGTATTGGACGCGGCGATGCGCTCAAGGTATGAGGGACATATTCGCATAGAAACACCACATTTGGCAGATCTCTCTTATCGTTCTTACGAGCAGTTGCCGATTCGACCAATGGGACCGGAACCCAGTGGATCGACATTGGACCCTTGGCCCCCGGATGCGCCCGATAGCTAAAGCGATAGTAAGGTATTACACTTCGCCTCGCCTCCGTGTCACTGCCTTGCAAACTAGCACGGCGAGTACCGCACCGATAATCTCCATCAGGATAAACACCGCACCATCGAAGGGCTTTACACCTGCCGCTGCGTAGGTGAATATCCGTGCAAAGGTGACTTGCGGATTGGCGAACATGGTGCTTGATGTCGCAATCAACTGTCCCCCAACCAACATGCCAACCACCAAGGAGATTTTATCCGATTGGTGGTGTACTAAAAGGAAGATTACGAGAACAAGGATAAAGGTGCCTAGAATCTCGGCAAAATAGTTCCCTCCCGCGCGCGTTACTTCAGAAACCGCGATCAGTTTGGGAATTTTATGATAGAACATCAGATGCGAAAAGACTGTTCCTGTTAGTCCACCGGCGACCTGCGCTAAAATATAGATTAACGCTTGCTTCCAGCCGATTTTACCTCCAAGTACCATTGCAAGGCTTACCGCGGGATTGAAATGGGCACCGCTGATGGGACCAAATATCTCAATAAGGGCGAAAAGAATAAACCCGACAGCAAGCGCATCAGCTAGGACCGCCAGACCGATCCCGGCTTCTAGTACTTGATGGAAAAGGATAATTGGCGAGATCGCCGCCATGACGAGGAACAGTGACCCCAAATACTCACTCAGAATTTGAGAACCTATCGTATATTCTGCTTGCTTTGATGCCACTTAAGACCTCCGTCTGTCTTTTTGTTAATCTAACACAGGTTGCTAGATAGCCCGTAGATCGAGTGATTTTCTCGGTCTATCGTACATAACCAATGCGACACATGTCGCCCCTCTGGGGCTTGAGGGAATTGGTTTGCCGATGTTCTATACACATATCGCCCCTCTGGGGCTATGTTGGTTCATTCGTTCATTGGTTAGTCAGTGCAATTGCAATAGACACGCTGCACTGTGCTGTATTTTGCACAAGGGTTACGGCATACGGAGTATGTCTACTACTAGCAACTTGGGTTAATCTAAATCTGATTCCAATCGTCCCATTGCAGCAGGAACACCTTATCATACTGAAGTTTTAACAAAGTTGTCAAAACAAAAACCTGGGCAGTCCGCTAATTTAAATTTATGGATAAAGGACTGAAACGATATGAAAATTACGCAACTCGAAATTCTCCCTGCGCCGTTTCAGGGACGGGCGTATATTTACGTCAAGCTGCACACCGATGAAGGTATCATCGGCATCGGTGAAGCGTCCTGTTCTGGGAAAGAGGGCGCATTGGTGGGCGCATTGCGAGATGTTGAAAATGTACTGATCGGCGAAGACCCATTTCAGGCTGAGAAAATCTGGCAGATGATCTATCGCAACGCTTTCTGGCGAGGTGGACCGGTGCTCATCGGTGCGCTCTCCGGCATTGAGCACGCACTCTGGGACATCAAAGGTAAAGCCTTGAACGTCCCGGTGTACGAGTTGCTAGGCGGCATGTACCGGCACAAGATGAAGGTTTACTGCTGGATTGGCGGGGGCACACCAGAATCTTGGGCGGAGGCGGCTGTACAACGCATTGAAAATGGTTGGGGCGGACTGAAATTCACGCCATTTGATCCGACGGGACCCGCCTTTAATCTCGCTCACGGTAAAAAAGTTGAAGCAATAGTCAAAGCGGTCCGCGAAGCGGTCGGTGACGAGGTCCCAATCGCAATTGATGGACATGGCCGCCTGAATCCCGTCAACGCAATGGAGATGGCGAAACGGATTGAACCTTACGGCATCCTTTTCTTCGAGGAGGCGGTACTTCCAGAATCGGTTGATGCGATGGCAACTCTACGTCGGAATGCGGGGGTTCCAATCGCCACCGGTGAGCGACTCTATACGCGCTACTCCTTCCGAGAGTATCTTGTCAAAGGTGCTGTGGATGTCGTTCAACCGGATATCTGTACCTGCGGTGGTATTATGGAAGCGTTCAAAATTGCGGCGATGGCAGACGCCTTTTTCGCCACGATCGCGCCTCACAATCCGCTGAGTCCTCTATCAACGGTGATTTGCCTGCACTTAGATACTGTCGTGCCAAACTTCCTTATTCAAGAAGTTCCCAATGGGAACAATCCGGAAAGGAAGAACCTCATAGTTGGATTTGAAGAAAAGCCGGTCAATGGACATCTGCAAGTGCCGCAGGGACCGGGTTGGGGTGTTTCGCTAAACGAAGATTATATCCGCTCGCTTTCAGGGGATTCGTCGCGCGGGAAATGGGACGCCTTCGATGTTGATGGTTCAATCCTTGATCTCTGAGGATGCAATAGAAAGAAAACGAGCAAATTTCCCCATTTTCCCCGTTATATTGACAGGTTGTGTTAAAAATAACGCAAGTTGCCGCTTACTAAGAAACGTTGTAAACCGGAAGAATGTGAGCTAAATTGAGTCAATCACTGCTCGCAGCGGATTGCCAAATCCGCTGCACATATACGGGAGGGCTTGGATATGTCTATCCAAGCCGAGCGGGGTTGATAAATAGCAACTTGGGTAAAAGTAAGGAGACGTTGGTATGCGATTGAACTTACGTTCCGCCATCAACCCATTCATCCATCTGCTTATCTGTCTATTCACATATTTCTGCATCATTGCGAGCAGTTTTGGGGGCACGGTCTATGCTGCCGAGGATCCACACTCACATGAAGCAGCTCTCAAGAACCCCGATGGGACATGGAAGTGGACGAATGCCCTCATCGGTGAAACGAGCCCTTACCTGCTTCTGCATGCCCACAATCCGGTTGACTGGTATCCTTGGGGACCTGAGGCGTTGGACCGGGCGAAGGCTGAGAACAAACCGATTTTCCTTTCTGTGGGGTACTCTACCTGCTACTGGTGTCACGTTATGGAACGGAAGGTGTTCTCAGATCCAGAGATAGCCAATCTGATGAATGCCTTGTTTATTAACATCAAGGTGGACAGGGAAGAACGCCCAGATATAGATGAGATTTATATGACCGCCACCCAAATCATGACGGGATCTGGCGGTTGGCCCAACTCTGTTTTTTTAACGCCTGACCTTCTTCCCTTTTTCGGAGGGACCTACTTCCCACCGGAGGATAGTCGGGGTCGTCCCGGTTTTCCGAGAGTCTTGAACGCACTTCATGAGGTGTGGATGAATCAACAAGCGGATGTCATTGCACAGGCAGAGAAGATAACGGAAGTTATCGTACAGGCGACGGCTGCCACCCCGGCTTCCGCCGAGGAAACGCCGCTGGATAGGAAGCTAGTTTCGGCGGCGGTGAAAGCCCTTCAATCGAGGTACGATGCTACATACGGTGGCTTCGGTGGTGCGCCAAAGTTTCCTAGCCCCACGAATTTGGAACTGTTGTTGAGCGAGTATCAGCGTGAACCTTCCAAATCAACCCTTGAGATGGTCACGAATACCCTTGACAAGATGGCGTACGGCGGGATGTATGATCAGATTGGCGGCGGTTTCCATCGTTACTCGGTTGATGCCAAATGGCTTGTACCACATTTTGAGAAGATGCTGTATGACAACGCCCTACTCGTGAAAGTCTACCTGCAAACCTATCAACTCACGAAAAACCCACTCTACCGACGGGTAGCCGAGGAGATTTTCGGGTTCGTTTCGCGAGAGATGACCTCCGCGGAGGACGGTTTCTACTCGGCACTCGATGCGGAAGTGGATGCGGAGGAGGGCAAATCCTACCTCTGGACAAAAGAACAGATTCAAGAGGTCCTTGGGAAAAGGATGCCAAGTTGTTCATGCAGGTTTACGGGGTGGACAAGGGGGCTAATTTTGAAGGCGGGACCAATATCCTCTACCTTCCTGCCCCAACTTCAAGTGTCGCAAAATCGCTCAAAAAGTCGGAGGAGGACCTCCACAGCCAACTTGAACCGCTCAAAGCGAAACTACTCACGACGCGAGAGAAGCGGAAACAACCCCTGCTCGATACAAAAGTAATCGTAAGCTGGAACGGGTTAATGATTGATGCGTTTGCCTACGGCTACGAAGTTCTCGGCGATAAACGGTATCGTGATGTGGCGGAGAAAGCTGCCCTGTTTAACCTGAAACACCTCCGAACGGCCGATGGACAACTGATGCGGACCTACAGGGATGGTGTCGCCAAATACAACGGCTACCTTGATGATTATGCCTTTCTCGTTCGCGGCTTGTTGGGTCTACATCAGGCAACGGGTGAGAAAAGTTGGTTGAATGAAGCAAAGTCCTTAACCGACACAATGAACCAGTTATTTTGGGATGACAAAAATGGCGGCTTTTACTTCACGCTTGCCAACCAAAAACATCTGGTTGTGCGCACCAAGAATCCTTACGACTCCGCTCTCCCATCGGGGAATGCGGTAGCGGCTAATAACCTACTCATCCTCGCACATCACCTTGGCGAGAAGGATTATCTGGATAAGGCGGAAAAAACACTTCAGAACTTCGCGGGCATGATGGAACAGTCGCCTAGTGCTTTTATGCACATGCTTTTTGCTACAAATCGTTATCTTTCGACGGACTGGACCAAAGTCGGGGCAGCACCCCAAGAAGAGTCAGCCCAATTCGGTTTGAACACGGAGGGGAGAAGCACGATTAACCTCTTTGGACTGCCGAAAGCCCCAGTGGCTTTACCTTCAGAGCACGAACTGTTGACGCTCGCAGCCTCCATACCCTCGAAAGGGGCTATCTTCCCCGGAAACGCCTTTGATGTGGAGGTACAGCTTGAACTCGCTGAAGGGTGGCATATCAACGCCAATCCCTCTTCGTGGGATCTGCTGATTCCTACAACTGTGTCCGTCAGCCTGATGCTTCCGTCGAAATCTTGTCGGTCACATACCCCAAGGGGAAGCCGTTCCACGCAGATTGGAGGGAGGCTCCAATTTCCATCTATGAAGAAGACGCCACAATCGAGATGAAATTGAAGTTGAAGCCGGGTGAAACAATCGAAAAAGCGTTTCCGTTGAACATAAATGTTCGCTATCAGGCGTGTGACGCGCACCGGTGCTTGCCGCCGTCAACCGCAACGATTCCGCTCTGGGCTAACATTTACGAGAAAAGTCACAACTGATATACATCGGGGTGAGCGTACATAAATCAGAGGATTTACCGAGCGAACCCCTAACTCAATTATAGGAGGTTTATCATGGATTTGGGATTAACAGGAAAGGTTGCCGTCATCACAGGCGGCAGTGAAGGCATTGGCAAGGGCATCGCCCAACGACTCTGCGCAGAGGGCGCGAAGGTCGCGATCTGCGCTCGTCGTGAGGATGTTTTAGAAGAGGCAGCGCAGGAGATTAGGGACGCAACGGGTGGTGAAGTGCTCGCTGTTGCTGCCGACGTGACAATCGCCGGAACACTCGAAATTTTCATCAACCAAACGGTTGATAAGTTCGGAAAGATTGATATTTTGGTCAACAACGCCGGGAAGTCCGCGGGTGGCAATTTTGAACAGGTAACTGATGCGGAATGGTACGAGGATCTCGATCTCAAGCTGATGGGAGCGGTGCGCTGTGCACGGTTGGCTATCCCTCACATGAGACCAACGGGTGGTGGACGCATCATCAACGTCACTCACCCCGGTGGTAAACAGCCGGACGCAGGCTCTGTTCCAACCTCTGTCAGTCGGGCGGCGGGCATTGCGATGACAAAAGCACTGTCTAAAGAGTTACTCGCCGACAAGATCCTTGTCAACACGGTCTGCTTGACCTCAATCAAGAGCGCGCAGGGTGAACGGTCTTGGAAGGCGGATGGTTCGCCCGGCACGATCGAGGAGTATTGGGAAGCAAGAGGCGCGGAGCATCCGCTCGGTCGCTTGGGTGAACCGACTGAGGTCGGTGATCTCGTCGCTTTCCTTGTCTCGGATCGGGCTTCGTACATAACGGGGACAGCGATCAATATTGATGGAGGATTATCGGCGGTTGTTTAGTACATTGTTATGGCGTGAAGCGTGAAACGTGATAGGCGGGTTTCTTCACATTTTACGTTTCACGTTTCGTAACCACACAGTTTGCTTCATCCAAGGTAAATCTGTCGTTACCTAATCATCAACGACATATCTCAACATTACCCCAAGATCGCCGACAATCCAGCCAGTTTCAGCGTCCGCCATATAAATCGAGTTCAGGTTATAGTAGCTTTCGCACCTTTGCGGACGCCAGTTCTCGCCACCATCAAGGGTACGGATAACCGTGCCTTCACCGCCGACTGCCCAGCCGAGGTTAGCATTGAGGAAGAAGACGCTATTTAGGAAGCTTTTCACGTAGCTCTTTTGGCGTTTCCACGTGCGTCCTCCATCGGTTGTGTGGATAACCAACCCATCAATCCCAACGACCCAGCCGTTTAGATGGTCTGTAAAGTAAACCCCTGACAACCATACCTCTCCGAGTTGGGCTTGCAAATCCCACTTTTGACCACCGTTCCGGGTATTAAGAATCACACCGCCCTGTCCCACAACCCAGCCGGTTTGAGTGTCAATGAAGTGAATACCAAAGAGATGACGGTTGACACCACTGCGCTGTTTCTGCCACGTTTTGCCGCCGTCCGCGGTGTGCAAAATCTCCCCGCTGTGACCGATCGCCCATCCGTGCTGTGAATCAACGAAGGAAACACCAAGGAGATCACTTTCCGTATTAGCCTCTTGCTGTAACCACGTTTTGCCACCGTCGGTGGTGTGGACAATTGTCCCCCATTCCGCAACGCTCCAGCCAACCTTGTCGTTGATAAAGTGTGTTGATCCGAAGCATTCCATCGTTCCACTATCTTGCGACTGCCAGTGCAACCCACCGTCGTCCGTGCGAAGGACCTCCCCACGGTCACCCACTGCATATCCAACTTTATCGCTGATAAAATGGAGGTCTGTGAGCAGATAGCTGGGTGCGGATTGAAGTTCCCACGTTCTCCCACCGTTCTTGGTGTGCCAGATCGTCCCGAACTCCCCGACAGTCCAACCGAGTTGAGAATTGATAAAATGGACACCTAGCAGAACGACATCCGCCCCGACCAATTGTGTCGCCCCACCCCGCTGATGCTTCCACGTCTTCCCGCCATCGTTGGTGTGCAAGATGGTGCCCAAGTCACCAACAATCCAGCCATTTTCGGTATCGGTGAAGTGGAGCGCGTACAGAAGGAAGGTGTGTAGCGGTTCATCCCCGGTTCTTATCTGCTGACCGTAGTGTTCTTCATGGCGTTTATTTGAGCCGAGCGTTAAATACTCCCAATTTCTACCGCCATCCTGTGTGGCAAGCACTATGCGCCTGTCCCCGACGATCCAGCCACGATTCTCATCGACAAAGTGGACATCGGACAACTCGTAGCGGACATTCGTTTTCTGGTAAGTCCAGCGTTTCCCTCCATCGCGTGTATAATAGGCGTTGCCTTGGTGGCTAACAGTCCAGCCTTGACGGGAATTGAGGAAAAATACACCCCTCAGCGAGTTGTCACCAATCCCTTCTGACCGATTCGTCCAAGTCTGTCCGCCATCCCCCGTGTATAACACTGTTCCGAAATCGCCGACGATCCAACCCTCTTGGGCTGAGACAAAGTGGAGATCGAACAGGTTATTATATGTATCCTTGATTGCTGTTCCCACGTCTCCCCACCATTTTCTGTGTGCAGGATGATACCATTGTCGCCGACGCACCAGCCGGTTTGGTTATCCACAAACCGCACCGATCGTAACGGATGGTAGACGCCACTCTGTTGTGGATGCCATGTCACGCCCGCCATCCGTTGTGTGGGCAATCGCGCTGTCGAGTTCTTCCGCGAATGTGCTTCCTGCGTTATTGCCGACCGTCCACCCGGTGCGCTCGTCAATGAAGAATACATCGTAGAATCGTGCTTCCCAATCTGCACGCCGAACAATTTCCCAGCGACCGGGCTTGGGAACTTGATCTCCTGAACACCCAATGCCCCCACCGACAAGCATCACAATGAGAAATATGACGTGAAGCGTGATGCGTGAAACGTGATGGGCTAAGTTTTCGATTTGTTGATTCGTTTTCACGTTGAATACATCCTTTTGCTCAAATGTTTTCGTAAATCGGGGCAAAGCTATCGTTCTCTGCGACGATATGCCTATCCCATAGGTTTATTCGAGACGATTGGTTCTTGTTGCTAGGAGAAAATTTCAGATCTCTCTATGAACGATTTTGCAGTCAGTTCGTCTTATACAATAACACAAGTTGCTGGTTATAGGGCAAGCCACAATTTGGGTGAATGAGAACGAAAGAGAGAAAATCATCACTCGCAGTGGATTGACAAATCCACTGCACACGTACGAAGATGGCTTGGATATGTCTATCCAAGCCGAGCAGGGTTAACACACTAAACCGATGCGAAACCTAATACAAAATCAACCTGAACAAATTATATCACGAAGAATAAGTATTCTGCCATTTTTTTTTCCAAAAAGCGATATGCGGATTGAGGGCTCGTGGCGTGCCTAGTAATTGGCTTTATATTTTATTACCGTCTTTGTTTGGTGTATACGTTCTCATGCCTGGATTATTTGCTTTCCGTAGCCATTCTTTTTTTTGTTCGCAGATTTCTCCCGTCTATCTCGAATCCGATTTTGGTAGTTTTGAATATTGCCGAGGGGGGGGGTGGGTGAGAGGAAGAGAGGGGGGCGGGGCGGCCGGGGGGGAGGGGAGAGGGAAGGGAGTGGGGTCGCGGGGGGGGGGGGGGGGGGGGGGGGGGGGGTGGGAAGGCGGGGGGAGGGGGGGGGCGGGGGAGAGGGGGGAGGGAGGGGGGGGGATGTTTTTATTTGTTATGTTTAAGTCTTTTTTAGTTTTTTTGTCTTTTTTTCTTTTTTCTTTTTTTTTTTTATTCGTTTTTTTCTTTTTTTTTTTTTTTTTTTTTGTTTTTTTTTTATTGCGGTTGGCTTTCAGTTAAAGCTTTTGATGATGTGGTTGAAGATAGATTGTTTGCTTATTGTGTGCCACACCATCCTGTATGTGTAGTATTTCAACCTGGCCTCAGCCTTGTAGTTAATAGCGTTTTTTCTTCGGCAACTGCCCTTGAGGCACTAGGGATCGGTTTGTGTTTTTTTGGGTTTGGAACGGTCTTTTTTCTGCGGATTGTTTCCTATTTTTGCAGAATTTTTCCGTCTGATTCTTTTTGCACGGGTCATTTGTCCAAAGGGGATCACTCCTGCCGCCGTGGTCTCCGAACGGTCAACGGACTCCTCCAGATAGTGGTTTTTTTGTTCCATTCCCAGTGCTGTTTGATGGTGGGCTTTTTCGTTCTTAATTTGTCTACGAGCATGGTATTTGACTTATCCTTCATCCCCCCCGACTGCCCCAGAACATCCATTGCCAGTTCTATTGATCGCTTTTTTTTTCTTTTTTTTTACGTTTTTTTTTTGGGCTTGCGTTTTTGTTTACGCACGGGCTTTTGTAATTGGGTTGTTTTGGTTGGTTTATGTGATCCACGACAAGACACGAGCTCTCCAAAGCAGGTTTGAGTGTATTTTTGCCTGAAGTCCAAAGCATTGCGCAATAAAGGCGCAACCGGTGGGCAAGCTTTGTCTTACTAGGAGAACCTTCAGCAAAACTTCGTGAGGATTTTCGTGCAGGCGTGGAAAAGCAACGGGCGGAAAATGGGTTGTGTCAGGCGTTGGTGTTTGATGACAATTCTCTACATGGTGTCTGAAGATAATTTTTCCTAGTTCTTGCTCCCGTTTGTAGTGCAAACATCAGAGGTATAATTTGCTTGTCAGAATTACTAGGAACATTCTTCTCATATTTCTTTTCATATGCGTTTGGTATCAGATGGACTGGATGAGGTGATCGAGGCGTTTACTTGTGCGCATGCTAGGGTCGGTAGTATTTGGATTTTTTTTTTCTTTTATTGCATTTTATTTTTGCATG